CCCCAAAACCCCAAAACCCCAAAACCCCACTCATTTTATAGGTTAGTAAATGTGCGCTTTCAATTATATAAATTACAAAATTTAAGTAGTGATGGAAACAAACTTCTTTTTGTTCAATGATCCTTCTGCTCAAAATCAAATTCCAAACGGGGCTGGGTATAACAATGATGGACAGCAAAATCTAGATTAAAATCAACAAGAAATTTAGAATATAATAATTACCACTTGCTATGAACTTGCTTAAAAGCCAGAGGTTAAGTTGAGTTCAGGATGTAAAATAATTAATGATTTTTTGAGGTAAGTATCTACAAAATTAATATTATATCATTAGAGGTGGGTTTTTAAGTAAGAGAATTTATGAAATATATGGAGAATCTGGATCAGGAAAGACTTAATTTGCTATTTAGCTTTTGCTGAACGTAAATCTCAATATTTAATGATGTAGAGTATATTGCCTGTAAGAAATGGAGGGCTAGGTGGGAAATCTTTGTTTGTGATTACAGGAAAACATTTGAACGAGAAGAGATTCAATGAAATGAAAGGTATTTTTCGGAATATATAATTAATAATTAGAGTACTTCTTAATTGAGCATTAAGGATTAACAACTGAAAATGCTGTAAGAGACAACATTATAATGAACTTTTGCAAAAATTAAGAAGAATACAACAAGGTCTTTCATAATCTAAATTCTAGAGTTGATGAGTAAATAGTCTCTTTGTAAGCAAATATTTAGGGAGAAGGTTAGATTAGTCATAATTGACAATATTCACAATTTATGTGATAACTTCATAAAAGCCGAAGGAACAATAGATTTTGTAGAGAGAAGCAAGTTTATCCAAAAACATGCTAAGACTTTAAAAGCACTTGCATATAAGCATGATTTAACTTTGATCATAATGAATAATGTAGTTGCTGAAGTTAATCATGATCAGTCGTCTAAGGTAATAAATATAAACATTAGACCAATTTTTTTAGGGATTTTTCGATAATAAATCGAAGGGCTAAGGTATATCACCATCATTGGGAATAAATTGGACTAATTGTATAAATGAAAGAATAAATTTGAGAAGGAAGGGAACAAATATTGATAATATAAGAAGAACTATAGTAATTGAAAAGAGTTCATTTATGAGGAAATCTGAATTAGATTTTGAGATTACAAACAATGGAATTCGAGGAAAACATTGAATTGTCGTTTTTTAAAGATGTGATTATCATAAAAAAATCTTTAAAATTGTTGTTTATTTCATGACTTACTATATTTTAAATTAAATCTTACAATGGGGTTTTGGGGTTTTGGGG